TGTGTCCGGACGACTTCCACTTGGATCATCAACCTGAGAAGGAATGTAGGCGTACTGCTGTAAGTCCTACAGTTCTTCAAGGGTAATTTGTCGTGTCAGAATCCACCACAGTTGAAGTAGTGATTGTACATACGTTTGTGTTAAATAGTTGTGTGAGTTCCAATTGATGTAATTGTTGGTTAATCTTGTTTGTGTCTGGACATTCCACAACTTACAATCGTCAACGTGAGAAGGGTTGCAGGCGTACTGTTGTAAGTCCTGCAATTCTTTAAAGGAATTCCGTCGAGACATGATCCGCGAGGTTATTTGTACTGTTTGTGTATACGTGTGGTGTGTCTTCGCAATTTGTGATTTTGGATCAGTTGTGTTTAGTCGTTGTTTCCGTGCCTTGTTTTTATTGTATAATTTTGTTAAAATTTTCGTCGTGATTACTTCTGAAGTTGTTTCTTGTCTTCTACATCCGTGAATGAATTGATTGATGTTAGAGACAGCAGATGGGTCGTATACGCCGGGGAGGCTATTGCTGAGAATGAAACTCACACGGAGATAATTGTTAGCTGCGGTCCGAAACGCCGGGGAGAATGAGTGTAAACGACTGAGGCTCGCATGCGTCACCGCTACTAGAACTGAGGCAGAATGAGTGACAAGCGATTTCATTGGTAATTGGTAGTGAGCAGATAAGAGGATGTGCGTAGAGTATCGTGAGGTCCTGCCATGGTCACTTTGTATTCTGCAAGAGTCATTCTAGCAAATGGCGATTGTGTTGCAAGATGTCAAGAGGAGGTCTCTGTCTGGACGCGCAGGTTGTCATTGATGTGTAAGATTGTGCTGTGGGTATGCTTGTGGTGTGTTGGCTTTTCTGTTTGTTTTCCATTTCAGCTCTGTCCGTGTGACCCAGGTTCTCGCAATGGCATCCAAGTCAACGTGCATTGATCGTGAAGGGAAAAAGTGTTGGATCCATTTTTGCCGGGGAGTGTCAATGGAGTTGAAGATTGAACGATCAATTCTTGGTTGTTTGCTCAAAATCAACTTCCTCGATTTTCGCGGAGGCATCAATACGACAGTCATCGTCTCATCGGTCGCTGTTCAGAAAGAAGAGTGAAACATCTTCAGAAGTAACATAACGATTTATTATTGTAATATTTGTTTACAGACCTTAGTTGCTTAGTTCGTTTATTCCTTTTATATGTTGGTGTAACAATAAAGAAATAACAAGCAGCAGATCGGTGTTTTGGTTTTTGCGTCCGTTATTACTAAGCGTTTCTGAAACTCAAAGGAACAGCGTGGGCCCGAGCGTAGCGAGAGCTGGGCATTAACGGTTTATGAGACGAGACTGACAATATACAATATGGACCTATGTACAAAATCACACACCAAGCACACTGGACTGCACATTGGTGCGCTACACTTTGAAGAACTGTAGGACTTACAACAGTACGCCTACAACCCTTCTCAGGTTGACGCTCTTGTTTGGAAAATCGTCGCAGAGTTCATTTGCTGACTTCCTCCTATCAGCTATATCCTCAAATCTGAACGGCAACACGCCCATGTCATTGTATCGTAGAATATAGATGACCAACAAACACACGACATATCTCATCAACCAAGTATAGAAACAGAGTAATTTACCCCAAAGATAATAACATTCAAATGGTAACTTGAAACTAGAAATTCCTTTATTCATGCAAGTCAATTTAACAATTACTCTCTCGTTTACACTTTGCTTATTCTCACTAAATTGAGCAATATATTTCGTCTTTTCAAATGCACCAATACTGTCAAAATCATTGCACAAGATACTTGAGTTCATGGGTGTCTGTTTCATTGTGGATGACAACACCAACGACGACTGATTGATATCAGTTGATGAAGTTAGCGGTGGATCAGAAGCTGTTGTTGCTCGACTTTCAGAAATTTGTCTACATGCAAGACCACCACCACTGCTGTCTTTTACTATCAGCTCAGGTTTAGCAACAGCATCTGATGATAGGTGGGCTACATGCTGATCAATCACACTGACGGTCTCACAAGTATGCATGCCTTCTGCAACTGCATTCAATTCTACTTCACGTTCTAGTTGTACAGAACCTTTATTTAACTTGGCAGTAGTAGGCATATTCCTCATCTCATAATGATCAACCAAAGAAAACTGTGAAGTATCATGATCATTATCAGGAATATTCACTTTACTACTAATAATAATAATGATGTATATTCTCATATAAACATATAAATTTACATGAAAATGCATGCCATTTTTACAGGCACGATCAAGTATGATATAATATCAAATCGTAGATTGTCGAGTGAGGATATAGGCCGACACCAGGTGTTATCGCGCAATGCCATCGGTTACCGCGCTCACGTCAACAGACGTTATAATCACCTATTTTTTTGGAAATAGATTATATTTGACTAGTTTTAGACTTATGTAGCCGGATGGCAGTATTTTGCTGTATTTTGTTCTTAGTAGAGCGTAAAATTGTATATTATAGCTCGGACGAATTATCAATGAAGAAGTCATCCTTTTTAAGAAAGTTCGCATAGAAAGACTATTATTTGCATTATAGTGCGTTGAGGGTTTGTTTATTTTCCAGTTGTTTCAGATCTTAAGGTTGTAAATATACTGCAGTCAATGGCTGTTGTCATTCCAGTGAATCTATGAGAATCTGGCCTATGAAAGATAAATAGCATGCAGACATAGGTTAGATGTGTGCTTTGAACATGTTAAACTTTTCTGTTATCATCCGGGATGACTGAAATATTCCATAACACATTGACGACATTATGCGATGAATGAGACAGGCTGCTGAATTTCCTGGTTATTATATCTATTTAGATGAAGTTCCTAGTTAAAAGTGCTTGGGCGAAGATGTGAAAATAGTTTAATTGACATTTGCACATGGAATTTCACAAGGCCTTAATTGCTCAGTGCATGAAATGGCATCAGAGTATATTGACATCAGTGTTCATTGTGTCTGGAAGAATAGTATAAATAGTCCTTCTCAAATGTCAGAGTACTTAAAATTAGTACCAGATTTATGTCGATTAGTAGCTGGCGGCTGTGTCGTACAACTACTACACCTGTTACATAGGTTATATCAATCTTAAAAATTATTTTGCTTCACATCACTAAGATATTGTGAGATCCTTAATGACTTAATTGTGGCTATGAAAGATGTGGAAGATGCACTTATGGCTCATATATTTAACGCAGTTATTATTAGACAAGTTATCTGTAAGCAACTTGTGATGTTCTGAATACTGCAAACTGTTGATAAGAAACTGCATTAAAGGAAAAAATGCTGAACAGCTAGAAAATACTACTGCAGTTTCGTTGGTTGTTACCTTTAGCATTTGTAACTCATTATTCCAAAGCTGCGATTGACGCCAAACCATCCATGGTACCCCACAGGCCCTATTGAAATTTGTGAGACATCTTACATGTCAGGTTGTCTTCCATATTATAAGGTTGCAGATCTTTCAATTTACCTCTCACTGAAGTATCACTTATCTACTTCACTATGGTCTTTTCATTTGTGCACTATTACACTGCATTTTATGTTAACTGGATATGCCTTTATGCTTACAGTCTATTTGCTTTTATTAGAAACACAACAACAGCAGTGTTGGAACAAAGCTGTATTTTCATAGAAAACATCATATTTTCTATCCTTACACCAATATGGTTGGCATTAAACATTGCAGATGTATACTCACATTCCAACGACATAGCACTTAGCCAAATGTACGGTGTTCATTATTAAGGGTTTACAATTTAACTCTTATAATTCATGATACTTCACGATTGCAGTTTATAACATAACTTATTGCGCCTGTAGAAATGACATGCATTCATTGTAAACATTGGTTTAAACGAAATTTGAAATTATTACTATATGCTTGCTGCTATCCTTTAGAAGAGGAATAATGTGTGTTGCAGTGAAAACCCCAGAATAATGATGTCATTACCAAAGAATGAGAAAGGAGAATAAACCATTTTCAGCAAAGGTAGGCAGATATAAATCGTTTACCTTTAATATTACTTCTTCCTTACTTCAGCTATTTAAAAAACACTTTGTTTACTTATTTGTAGATATCTGGTAACGTCAATCACCCCAGTCACAGAGATTCGACATTGCACAAATTATTCCGACAATCGACTGCGTAAACACATTTGCTTGTTATTATTTTTTCATTAAATACATTTAATATCCTGCTTACCAGACCTTTCTTATTATATCTGAGTTTAGATGTATTTGTCATGATGACTAGGTGCAGACATGACTTATTAATAAGAACTGACGAAGTAATTGGTGGCATATTTTAGTGTAAGCTAAATCTAAATACGATTGTTAAAGCTCAACGAATTCAATAATTCGTCTGGTGTAGAGTTGAATTTACGCTACATGTCAACAGCCTTAGTCATATGGATTGACATCACGCTTTAAGTGAAACATTAGTAATGCAATACTTTCGAATACACGTAACCGTATAAGAACTGGGACTCGAATGCAGTGCCTAAGGTATGCCTACTATTGTCCCTAAAGACTTGTATATGACTATGATACTTATGCACGTTAGCTAACTGAAATACTTATAATTTAACACGTATGCTGACCGACATCGTTCCTACACAATTACACTTACGTATTGTTAGTAGTGAAAGTCCTAGAGAGCACCGGTCTAGCATGCCGTGCTCACAAAGTGAACACATGAATTGAAAGACAACAAAATTTACATGAAAATTTTATTTTCATTATGACAAAAATTTAGTTTATTTACATATTAAGAACACGATTGATTCCTGCGATTACTCCGTCTGCATAAGCATTGGCAAACACTTCTCCAAATTTGTCATTAATTCTGTCCATACCCGCATTGATAATCTTCTTTTTGGTATCGTATATGTTACTTCGATTTCGAGGGATAACTGCTGACGTACTTTGAGATGCGAACAAGTTGCGTGACCACGTCCATTGTTTACAATTATGCATCACATGGTTAACTACAAAAGGTGGAACAAAAAAAGTTAAGATAACTATGAACTGATTATTACATTACATTATACATTAAAAACGTAGTCATAAAAACGCAAATATACCTGTGAAATACGGCTTTCTTAAGTGGACCAAAAGCAAGTGTCGGCAGGGGTACCGACAGGTCTGAAATGTAAAGCACGTGCAGGTGCAAGCACTCAGATCAACCTGCACTGTTTTCCCATTTTCTTTGAAAAATACATAATCAACGGATTCGAACTCAACAGTAGCCCATCGTCGCAATTGGTATTCACGTATTACCTTCCTCGCGGCGTATGGTGTAAGCAACCGTATAATTGGGATTAAACTTTGTGAACAGGGATACGTGAAGCATCGTGATTGAGCAATATTCGCCTCCTGCTGTATTATTGAAAAACTTCGTTTATGCCATTTATACACCTTTAGCATACTTTTATGCAGACTATCAGATCTTTGCAAAAACCGTTTCATCTGCTTGTGGGAACTCTCGACACGATTATTTGTATCGTTCCCAAAAGTCAGCACGTTATCTCTGAAACAGGCCGCCCACAATTCTCGTCGATGCATCCAACGACGTTGTAGGTATTGACTGACATTAGCGTCCAATCTGCTAATAACTCTGAAGTAGAAATTAAATCTGCAAAATGAGAACAATAGAGGCATTACTCTGATCTCCTTTTACACTGCACTAGACGGCATAAGTAGTTCTTCACAATGGGATTTCTTGTCTACGAATAAAATGTAAAGTATGCTTTGAAAAACTTACTTTCCGACAGAAAGCTCGGCAAACATGAAAAGAACACAAAACAATGTGCGCTTGTCTGTGCGTTAACTTGACGGCTGCTATTTCAGCTTGCGCACAATCCATAATGAAGGATTCTGTTTTCGAGGTGTCTTCCATTATTTGCCGGAAACAGTCTAATATCCAAACTACATCTCGTTTGAATTCTTTTCTAGTCCACGCAAATAAAACTGGTCGTCCACGACCAAAATTATCCGTCACAAGTAGCTGGAACAAAGAATACCTGCACGTTGACTAATGAATTGGTAAACTTACTTCCCCTTATTCGTATTATACGTCGAGTCGATACCAACAACTTCAGGGAACTGTTTATACAATTCCATTTGCTCATAAGTTGCAAAACAAATTCTTGTTAGTGAATTCCTGATCGGTTCATCGGAATAATACTCCATTAACTTCCCACGGGATTTTAGGAATTCAAAAATGTCACGACGACTCGAAATACCTTAAGTATGTAACAAGTACGTCAACGTTACCTTTATTCACTGCGGCTTTCATATTTTTAACGTCAATGCGAGTTATATCCTTGTTGTACTTCTCCTTAACATGCATTATTATTTCATCGGATGAGTGGGATTGCTGAAGAAGTGGTTCAATATTTTCTTTCTCTTCAACTGTTAGTCGTCTATACCATGGGTCATTCTGCATGTACACCCTGCTGCATGGATGGTTATGCACCATATTGTGGGAAGCAATTATGTATTCACTATTATGCAAAACCACGCGAAATGAAGACGAGCAATTGCAACATTTAGACCTGCAATATTCATGAAATCATATTACACTTCTTCTTACGACTTGTTTTTCAATTTCAATCCAGGTCTTGTACGATTCACTCCAAAAGTGCATTTAAAACCAACATAAGCGTACTTAAACCTGGCATCCGGCATCGTTTTGCTGCAATTATGAACATAGTGAGTGTAGGATAACTACACTGTTAGCATTATATGACTTCCTCACTTTTTGAAATTCTGCTAATGACTTCTCAAATTCATCCCAGCTGAAGAAACGCTTTCCAAGTATGTATTCAGCAAAAATTCCACTTAAATCTGTGCTCCTGTCACTCGAATTGACTACCTGCAACGGACTAAAATAAAGTTATCAATTAGGATCCATCTATGTCACAACTATTCCAACATAAATCGTAAAAAAACAACATTGAAATACAGGGATGATCGATAACCATCAAGAAAATGCCGCACGTATAACCTAAATTACAGAAAAACACAAGAACCCACCGGTTCGTTGACATCGCAAGCAACCAATAGACCAAACAACGAATTGTACGACAAATAATGCCTAGTACATGCACAAACAAAGAAAAACAAAGCGTTACAATAGTTTCATACACGTTTACAGTAATCACATATGCTGGCAAACGACGCAAACACAACCACGCAAATACAGCACCCGACAGCACGCACCCAAGGACAATTCAAACTCCAATTGACCGCCACCATTCTAGCCAATGAAAGACGAAAAAAAATTAGTCGCGGAAAATATAACACGAGACAACGTATATACTCACCCAGATTGTCTACAAGTTAATAATGTTTCAACAGTTAAATATTTGATATATATATAAATACACATTGTCTGAACTAGGCTGTATAGTTATTGAATTGTACAGTTGTCCTCCAGGTTGAGCGGGAAAATCGACTTCGTTTCGTTTTCATCCCGTGGTTGTCGGCATACGATAACCAACCAATATTGAGGTAAGTACAACGTTTACAAGGGATTGAAAGCTGTTTTAGATAAGTTCATCATTTTCAAACTCTTTAATAACAGAAGTAGACAATTTTTGTGCAAAGATTTTGATAGTATTGGTGCATCTGAAAAGACGAAATATATTGCTCATTTTAGTGAGAATAAGCAAAGTGTAACCGAGAGAGTAATTGTTAAATTGACTTGCATGAATAAAGGAATTTCTAGTTTCAAGTTACCATTTGAATGTTATTATCTTTGGGGTAAATTACTCTGCTTCTACACTTGGTTGATGAGATATGTCGTGTGTTTGTTGGTCATCTATATTCTACGATACAATGACATGGGCGTGTTGCCGTTCAGATTTGAGGATTTAGCTGATAGGAGGAAGTCAGCAAATGAACTCTGCGACGATTTTCCAACCAAGAGCGTCAACCTGAGAAGGGTTGTAGGCGTACTGGTGTAAGTCCTACAGTTCTTCAAAGGGTAGCGCACCAATGTGCAGTCCAGTGTGCTTGGTGTGTGATTTTGTACATATGTTCATATTGTGTATACTGAATTGATATCATCTGTCATCTAGCTGTTGGTAATTCTGTTTGTGTTCGGACGTCTTCCACTTGGATCATCAACCTGAGAAGGAATGTAGGCGTACTGCTGTAAGTCCTACAGTTCTTCAAGGGTAGTTTGTCGTGTCAGAATCCACCACAGTTGAAGTAGTGATTGTACATATGTTTGTGTTAAATAGTTGTGTGAGTTCCAATTATTGTAATTGTTGAATAATCTTGTTTGTGTCCGGACATTCCACAACTTACAATCGTCAACCTGTGAAGGTTTGTAGGCGTACTGGTGTTAGCCCTGCGATTCTTCAAAGGAATTCCACCAAGACATGATCCGCGAGGTTATTTGTACTGTTTGTGTATACGTGTGGTGTGTCATATCAATTGGTCGTTTGGATTCATTGTGTTTATTTGTTGTTTTCGTATCTTGTTGTTATCGCGTAATTTTGTTAAAATTTTCGTCGTGATTACTTCTGAAGTTGTTTCGAGTCTTCTACATCCGTGAATGAATTGATTGATGTTAGAGACAGCAGATGGGCCGTGTACGCCGGGGAGGCTATTGCTGAGAATGAAATGCGTACGGAGATAATTGTTAGGTGCGGTCCCACACGCCAGGGAGAAGGAGTGTAAACGACTGAGGCTCGCATACGTCACCGTTACTAGAATTGAGGCAGAATGAATGACAAGCGATTGCAGTGATAATTGGTAGTGAATAGACAAGAGGATGTGCGAAGAGTATCATGAGGTCCTGCTATGGCCACGTTGCGTTCTGCAAGAGTCATTCTAGCAAGTGGTGATTGTGTTGCAAGTTGTCAAGAGGATGCCTTTAACTGGAAGACGCAGGTCGTCATCAATGTGTGTGATTGTGCTGTAGGTATGCTTGTGGTGTGTTGGCTTTTCTGTTTGTTTTCCATTTCAGCTATGTCCGTGTGACCCAGGTTCTCGCAATGGCATCCAAGTCAACGTGTATTGGTCGTGATGGAAAAAAGGGATGGATCGGTATTTTGCCGGGGAGTGTCAGTGTAGTTGAAGATTGAACGATCAATTCATGGTTGTTTGCTCAAAATCAACTTCCCTATATTTTCCGCGGGAGTCGTCAATCTGGCAGTCATCGTCTCATTGATCGACGTTCATTGGAATATAGAAAATTATCAGAAGTATTATCCTAATTTCTTGTTATAACATTTGTTCTCAGATCTTGTGTATAATAATATCAGCCACGTCTCGTAAACCGTCAATGCCCAGCTCTTGCTGCGCTGGGACTCACGCTGTTCCTTGAAGTTTCTCAGAAACGATTAGTAATAACGGACGAAAAAACCAAAACACCGATTGGCCGCTTGGGAATCCTTTATTGTGACACCAACATATAAAAAATGTTTCCACTAAGGTCTGTGAACAAATATTACAATAATAAATCACAATATTACTTCTGACGGTTTATTGCTGACTTCTTTCTGAACAGCGACCGATGAGACGATGACTGTCGTATTGATGCCTCAACGAAAATTGGGGAAGTTGAGTTTGAGCAAACAACCATGAATTGATCGTTCAATCTTCAACTACACTGACACTCCCCGGCAAAATACCGATCCATCCCTTTTTTCCATCACGACCAATACACGTTGACTTGGATGCCATTGCGAGAACCTGGGTCACACGGACATAGCTGAAATGGAAAACAAACAGAAAAGCCAACACACCACAAGCATACCTACAGCACAATCACACACATTGATGACGACCTGCGTCTTCCAGTTAAAGGCATCCTCTTGACAACTTGCAACACAATCACCACTTGCTAGAATGACTCTTGCAGAACGCAACGTGGCCATAGCAGGACCTCATGATACTCTTCGCACATCCTCTTGTCTATTCACTACCAATTATCACTGCAATCGCTTGTCATTCATTCTGCCTCAATTCTAGTAACGGTGACGTATGCGAGCCTCAGTCGTTTACACTCCTTCTCCCTGGCGTGTGGGACCGCACCTAACAATTATCTCCGTACGCATTTCATTCTCAGCAATAGCCTCCCCGGCGTACACGGCCCATCTGCTGTCTCTAACATCAATCAATTCATTCACGGATGTAGAAGACTCGAAACAACTTCAGAAGTAATCACGACGAAAATTTTAACAAAATTACGCGATAACAACAAGATACGAAAACAACAAATAAACACAATGAATCCAAACGACCAATTGATATGACACACCACACGTATACACAAACAGTACAAATAACCTCGCGGATCATGTCTTGGTGGAATTCCTTTGAAGAATCGCAGGGCTAACACCAGTATGCCTACAAACCTTCACAGGTTGACGATTGTAAGTTGTGGAATGTCCGGACACATACAAGATTATTCAACAATTACAATAATTGGAACTCACACAACTATTTAACACAAACATATGTACAATCACTACTTCAACTGTGGTGGATTCTGACACGACAAACTACCCTTGAAGAACTGTAGGACTTACAGCAGTACGCCTACATTCCTTCTCAGGCTGATGATACAAGTGGAAGTCGTCTGGTCACAGACAAACATACGAACAGATAGATGAGATATTATACCCATTTAATATTTGGCACATGAACATATGTATAAAGTAACACACGAAGTACGATGGACTTCGCGTGGACGTGCTACCTTGATGGCCTGTTTGACATCTGGGCTGCCTTTTCGTGCATCTACATGCTGCATCAATTCATCATGTTTTCATTCCTAATTTTAATAATATATGATCACAAATCTCATAAAATACAGTAATTCATTCATTAAACCTTTCAAATCATATGAAATTCATGCATCTAATAAAACTAAGGTAAAACATCATGGTGGTTGGCAACGTGTTCTTAAACAGACACCTTTATATCGCACAACGATTCCTATTATCGTCAGTTCAAACTGCCATTCACTTCCCAACAAATATTATGCATCTCCAGTCTCTCTTATCATCTGACACTTATCACAATACGGCGATTGTTGCGTTACAAGAAACTTGGCTCCATGAACCTATGATGACAATCTGGTTTCCCTAAATGGTTTCACATTTTTCAGACAAGATCGACTATGCTCCAGAAAGAGGTGTTGCAACTTTCATTCATTCTCAATGGTCAACTTCAAATAATGTTTTTCTTTTTCTAGTGACTTTATTGATTGTATAACAGTCAAATGTCGTCCGAAACACTTATCCAAGTTTAAATACGTCTTCATCTCAAACATTTATGTTACTTCTGGCAGTTCTGCCTTGGATCTATCTGATTTTGCTGATGAATTCACTGAATTCGCCGTTACACATCTTGAAAACTCTTTATCAGTTGTCACAGGAGATTTAAATTGCTGCGATTGTTCTTTCCTTGTATCATTAGGTCATGTCAATATTGTTAAATTTCCTACTTGACTTGATAAAACTTTGGATCTAGTGTTTATTAATGATGAGGAAATATATGAAACACACGGACGTGCACATATAATGAACTCGGATCATTGTATTATTCGGATATTACCTAAGATATACACCAGATCTCACTTTAATATCCTCTCAAATCTGTCCAGGAAAACACAGCAAATATGCTACTCACAGGAAAATGTGCTCAAAATAGGATGTATGCTAAATGACACAAATTGGGAACTTTTCAACGAACACACACTGGATGATACTATTTCCAATTTGACTGACCATCTTAAATTCTGCCTTGATATATGCTGTCCAAAACAGATAATTTTCAAAAGAATGGACCGTCTCTCTTCCCTTCATCTCAAAAAGCTTCGAAGAGAAAAAGAGAAGCTGTACAAGACAAAGAATAAATCTGGTCTTAAGAAGATAAACATCCAAATTAAATCTGAAGTCACAGGCTAAACGACATTTATAATCAAACAGTACTGTCTTGCAAAACATGTGAAAGCTCTTCAGAGAAACTACTTGTAAGCTCAATATTGCCTGAAATTAAGTCACGCGTAGATAAAGGCTATCCCGGTCCAGAACAAACAAGAAGCCGGTCACTGTTTCTACGGTACTATTAATAAACAAATCAATAATTATATATACAACAGACCTTAACGGTTTCAAGAGTACAAAGCACAACGCTTAACAGAAAGCAAGGTACCGCTATCAGAGAGGAATAACGTTAAAGCCAAAATTGCGAACTAGCCGGAACCAGACACGACCGTTCAGGTAAGCAGTCAGTAGAAGAATGAACCCAAGTAAGGCATGGCATAAAACAGAGAGCGTTTAAGAGAGATAGACCGAGCATAGG